AGCCATGCTCCCCTACCCATTGAATGGCACCACCATCCCTGTGCTGGCCCAGGCCAGAAAACAGCCGCATCCTAGCCCCTGACCTCCCACTCCGCCAGATGCCACTTAATGCATTGCACAAACATTTCACCGACCACCTACTATGAGCCAGGTACTGTTCTGGGTGCTGGCGATTGATGTGCAAGTGAACAAACTGACAACTTCCTGCTCACATGGAACTTAAATTCTATTTTGGTGGTGGGAGGGGGGCAGATAAGCACAGAGAATATCAGAGGGTGACAAATGCTACAGAGAAAACGCAGAGAAGGGGTAGGAATCACATGGGGGCAGAACGCAGTTGAAAATAGGGTGGTCAGAGAAGTCCTCACAGAGAAAATGACACTGGGCAGAGATAGAAATGTGGACTCAAGAATCAAGGTGCACAGATACCAGGAGGAAGAGCGCACCTTGGAGAGGGAACAGCAGGTTCAAAGGCCCTGCACAGTGGTCCTTGAGGGAGGGGCAGTACCATGGGCACTGGAAATGTACAGTGTTTTGTGACTGGGAAGTTCTGCTGAAATTTAGTGCCCCCAAGGGGATGGGACGCTCATGGGACATCCCTGCCCCAGGTGCAGGGAGTGCCCTGTTGAGAAAGTAGAACTTCCTGTGTGAGATGGAGACACTGTAGAGTCTGAGTCAATGAAGGTCACTCTGGCTTCTGTGCTGAGAATAGTCAAGGACACATTTCTCTACATCTGTCCAGCCCCACTGCCACATTGTCTTGTAGGTCCTCATCATTGCACCCTAGAGTATTAACAGCCTCCAAACCTAGTTCCCATTTGCCTTTTACTCCCCTCAATTCTTTTTCCACCCTGTTGAATCCAAAGTGGTCTTTTCAAAAATGCAAAATCTCATTCCATCACCACCTTGCCCCTTCATTAGCTCCCATCTGGGTACAAACAGAATCTTTAGCAGAACCTATCAGGCCTATCAACCTCTACTTCTAATTTCCCCTTGTTTAAGTCTCAACTAACCACCACTTCCTCTGGGAAGCCCCCCTGAATCCTCTCCACAGCAAGTTAGGTGTCCCCTGGTCTGTTTCCAGCGCTTCTCCATGGTAATTCTCAGAACACTTGACACTTGCTATGACTCCGACCCAACCTGTCATTCCTTCCTCTATGCCCAAGCACAGAAAGCCAACCTGTGGGTAATTGATCTGATAAGCCAATTTCTTGCAAGATATTAATAACTGGTAAAGGAGTTAAATCTAGCTGTATTATGCCCTGGCCAGTGCTTCTCAGTAGTTAGAGCATTGCCCTTGCACTGAAGGGTCATGGGTTCGATTCCCAGTGAAGGACATGTACCTGGCTGCAGGTTCCATCTCTGGCCCCTATCGAGGTACATTCAGGAGGCAACCAATTGATATCTCTTGCATGTACAGGAGGCAATCAATCAATGTGTCTCTCTCACATTGATGTTTCTCTCTCTCTCTCTCCTTTCCCTTCCCAATGGAAAAAAAATCAATGGAAAAAATATCCTTGGTTGAGGGTTAACAACAAAAAATCCAACTGTATTATGACCAGGATGATGCTGAGCCCAAAGTACTGATGCTATAATGGTGGAATTTAGGCAACAGAACAGACAGGAGACAAGGGAACTATTGCTGGGCTTCCAGTTCACCCAGCATTGTTCCATTCATCCCTTCCTCTACATCTATGGCTCAGCCCACAAAACATGATGATACCCAAGAAAGCTCTGCCTTTCAATCCCAATTGGAACAAGAGCCACAGAGGAGAAAGAACCTGCAAGGAAGCTGTGACAAGGAAGTGGGAAGGAAGGCACTCCCAGATTCCTTAGCCTGCTCTGTAGCCCAGCCTGTCCTTTGGCTCCGAAGAGTCCGCACCAATTCCCAAGCTTTAGAGAATCACAACAACTTGCTCATCAGGACGAGAGGACCACCTGCTGAGGCTCCTGACCAAGGATCCAGAAAACCTCTTTGTTTGATAGAAGAGGCATTGTTTTGCTCACATTCTCTAAGGGACTCTTTTAAAAAATATATATATATATTTTTTCTTAATTTCAGAGGGAAAGGGAGAGGGAGAGAGAGATAGAAACATCAATGATGAGAGAGAATCACTGATCGGCTGCTTCCTGCACACTTGGGCATGTGCCCTTGACTGGAATCAAACCTGGGACCCTTCAGTCCACAGGTGGATGTTCTATCCACGGAGCCAAACTGACTAGGGCATCTAAGGGACTCTTGATCCCAAATAAATTCATTAGCTAATTAAGCCAATTCCTTTCCCACTTTTCAGCTGGAGAAACTGATACCAGAAGGAGAAGGCCCACGGATATATGGCAAATCAAAGCAGAGTCCAGAGCTCTAGCCTTTGCTTCCAGGCCAGGGCTCTTCCCACCATGATTTATTGTCCCAGAGTACCAGCAAAACACTGGGAGGCCAAAGGGGTACAGCCTTAGCCCCTGGGTCAGGGCTCCCACCTTCCCATACTCCTGGACATAAGTCTGGTGCAATGAGGGTTAAGAAAAGCATTGCACTTCTCACCCAGTCCTATCTCCACAGAACAGCTCCCCAGATGGTGGGGGTGCTCAGGAGCACTGGGCAAAGAAACAGGGAGACAGGCAGGAGGTTAGAGAACCTTGGCCAGGAGCTGAATAGACAATTCTGGGTCAAAGTTTGCATGCCTTTGCGTGAGAAGCTCTTTGGCTGATTCCCTGGCGATCAATACCAGGAAAACAGAGTAGGGAGCAGAGACGGCTCTGGCGTGGGGGGATAGAGACTGCTGAAGGTCTTGACCCAGCAGACTGGTCCAGCTTAGAATCTGCAGTCAGCACCATTGAGGGCTATGTGGCAGGGGGATGGGGAGAAAGCAAAACCCACAACAAAGCTCTACTGCATGGTGGAGGCAGGACATACAACCTATGTTGAATCTAGAAATACTTCAGGAGCTGTGAGAAGCTTGGATGGAGGGAGCAGGTAAAGGGACTCTGGGAGAGTGGGGGACTAGAGGAGCATTATGGAATATGAAGAGTACAGGAAGGACATTTCTGGCAAGAGGACAGGACATAACAAGAGCAAAACATGGGAGTGGGAGGTTGGGTGAAGCTGTTTGAGAAGAATACAGTGTGAGTGGTTGTATAGAATTAGGACTTGCTTCCCAACGTGTTTTCACACACACACACACACACACACACACACACACACACACCAGCCACACTCTATCCCACTTGACCTCTGAACCCTAAGCGCCTTCTCCCTCTTACCTTGGGAAGCAGGAGAGCCAAAAAGATTTGATTTGCAGGATCCAGGGCTCAGTGTGGCAGTCCCCAACCTAACCCCAGCTCCTTGGCTCTTAGACTTGGTCTAAGCCTGTTGTCCTGATGTAAATATTAAAAGTGCCATCTTTCACTCTCAAAAGAGTCCTGTCTTGAACATTCGATTATGTGGTTATGCTAGTAACAGTGGCCATCTAAGTGGTATTGTATGCCCAGCAACCATTCTCTCTTCTTCTGGCAATATCACTTCTGTTCTTTAGCCCACACCTATTCTTAGCCAATAGGTTTGATGGAGCTGACCACACCCCAGACTATACGGGTGCATGACCCAGGCCTGGCCAATGAGAACCCAACAAGGGTTTTCTGAAATTGTTGGAAAAGAGAGGTTCTCTTTCTGCAGGGTAGTTAAGCTAATTTGAAAATAAGTCTGGGCCTACCAATGGCCACCTTTAAAGAAAGCCTAATTTATAATGATGCCCATTCAGGGGAAAGCAAAATGGGGAGGTCAAGAGAGAGAAAGAATTGATGACATTGAGCACCTAGATCCAGTTATTTCTGAAGCCAATGAGGTTCACCCACAGAGCATATCTGTTACATGAATCAACATCACCACCACCTTCCCCCTTACCTCATCCCCTGTCCTTTCCTTCTTCATCTCTTCTTCCTCTTCTTCTTTTAGTAGGAGTTGGATTTAAGGACTTGCAGCTGAAAGACTTATAACCCAAACCTGCAGGCCAGAGAAGCTTACCCCGCAGTGCTCTCTGAGACAGCCCCAAGAAAACCTGGACAAGTTGGACAGAAGATGAAGGAAGTTACCCTTGTTTGGTTGCTTCCCACTGGTCTGCCAAAAATGCCACCAACAGCACCCCTGTAGGAAGCGAATTTTATCTCCAGAAGACTCCATGGTGGTGTTGAAGAGTTGTTGGCTGGTGATTGCCTGAAGAGAACTCTTGAGTGAAGCAGAGATTATCAGCTGAGACTGTGCTGGAAGCAGAGCTCAACCCCCCTGCCTTCTGGGAGCTCCTTGGATAGGGGATGCCCAGGAAGAAAGCAGATGT